AATAATACCACTGGGTAATTCCCATATTCTCATGGTGCTCTTCTTATTGCCCCTTTTCAATTCTCCAAGTTTGGAGGAGTTGCACATTTCTGAAACTGGAGTCCCTAGATAGATAGAATAGGAGTCCCTAGATAGAAGTAATGGGACTTCCATTTCCCCAGTCCAAATCTGAGTCGACATTTTTATGCAAATTTATTTCTTTTAGATATTTCCTCCTGTTGTCCACTGGAGTTCTACAATGAATTCCATAAATCTCTTTAGGAAATTGTAATGACTCTAATAAATCAGCAGTTAGTTTCTACGTGGTATTTTAATTCTCCTTTATATTAGAAAGCCTCTATTCTTCCAAATTTGGTCTATAGTATTCAGGCCCCCCACACATATTTACTATCAGTATATTCACGTTAAGACTGGTGGCTAATTTAAAAGCTCTCCTAGAAGATGTGAGTGCTGCTGCTTGGCTGATTTTATATTTACGAGAGCATAAGTCTCTAAAACCTCATGAAGTCTGACTTTCATGCTTTTATATTTGCTTTTCTAAAACACATGATATGCTTTTATATTTCCTCATGTGTCTCTTATACAAGATCAATTAGTGAAGTATATTAAGCTAGGATTGGGAATAGAAATATTAGATATAGCAGACCAAGGTCGAGTATCTTCTATAACTGTGAGTCAGTCATGTTCACACTACTTATTTAGGATCTGACAATTGTACAGGTGGTTTCAAAAAGTTACACCTGACTAGAATAACATTAGTATTAGTCAAACTCTGTACCCATTAAATACTAACCTGTCCATCTCCCCTTCTTGCCTCCTCCCCAGACCCTGGCAACTATCATTCTATTTTCTGTCTTTATGAGTTTTGACTATTCCAGGTACCTTATATAAGTGAGAACATACAATATTTGTACTCTTCTGATTGGCTTATTTCACTTACCATAATATCTTCAAGATTCAACCATGTTGTAGCATGTATCAGAATTTCCTTTTTTAAGGTAGAATAATATTCCATTGTATGTACACATAACATTTTGTTTATCCTGCTTTTGGGCTATTGTAATGCTGTTATGAACATGAGTGTACAAATATTTTTGTGGATCTCTTTTTTCATTTTTTTAGTGTATACCTAGAAGTGGAATTGCTGGATCGCATGCTGTTATGAACATGAGTGTACAAATATTTTTGTAGATCCCTTTTTTCATTTTTTTTTTAGTATATACCCAGAAGTGGAATTGCTGGATCGTATGGTAATTCTATATTTCATTTTTTGAGGAACTGTCATATTGTTTTTCATAGGGCTGGACCATTTTACATTCCCATCAGCAGTGCACGAAGTTTCAGTTTCATCATTGCCAACATTTGTTATTTATTTATTCATTTTTAAAGTAAAACCATCCTAATGGATGTGAAGTGGTTATCTTATTGTGGTTCTGATTTGCATTTCCCTAATGACTTGTGATTTTGAGCATCTTTTCACGTGCCTTTTGCCATTTGTACATCTTCTTTGGAGAAATTTCCATTGAAGTTCTTTGCCCACTGGGTTGTTGTTTTCCTGTTGAGTTGTAGGAACTCTGTATGTATTCTGGATATTAATCTTTATCAGATATATGATTTGTAATATTTTCTCCCATTTTATGGGTTTCCTCTTTACTCTTTTAATAGTGTTCTTTGATGCATAAATATTTTAAATTTTTGCTCAAGTCCAACTTATGTAATTTTTCTTTTATTGTCTGTGCTTTTGATGTAATATCCAATAAATTATCACCAAATCTATTATTATGAGGCATTCTCCCTGTGTTTTCTTCTAAGAATTTTATAGTTTTAGCTCTCATACTTAGGTATTTCATCAATTTTGAGTTAATTTTGTATGTGGTATAAGTAGGAGTCCAACTTAATTTTTTTGCATGTGGATATCTAGTTTCCCCAATACCATCTATTGAAAAGATTATTCTTTTCCCATTGAATAGTCTTGACACACTGAAAATTATTTGAGCATATATGTGAGGATATATTTCTGGGCTCTCTATTCTATTCATTGATCTAAGAATCTGTCTTTTTAAACATGTTTTTTAAAAATTTATTTTAAATATAGTTGACATGCAATATTATATTAGTTTCTGGTGTACGACAAAGTGATTCAACATTTATATACCTAACAAAGTGATCACTACAATAAGTCTAGTAAGCATCTGTCACTGTGTAAGTCTGTCTTTATGCTAGTACCACATTGTTTTGATTACCACAGATTTGTAGTAAGTTCTAAAACCCGAAAGTATAAAGCTTTCAACTTTGCTCTTATTTGAGATTATTTTGGCTGTTCAGGGTCTCTTGAGATTCCATATAAATTTAAAGATAAAATTTTCTATTTTTGCAAAACAAAAAAATTGCTGGGATTTTGATAGAGAGAGTATTGACATCTTAAAAATATTCAGTTTTCCATGGCTTATTATTAATATTAAGACATTCATGAGATGTCTTTCCATTTACTTGTGTCTTCCATAGTTCTTTAGACATGGCTTTCTTTTTCTGTTTGGACATATTTAACAGAGCTTATTTAAAGTCTTTGTCTTGAAGGTCCAATGTATGGGCTTCCTCTGGAACACTTTTTATTGATTGTTTTCCCCCTGTGCATGCATCATGCTTTTTTGTTTCTTTGCACGCAGGTATATGGCAGAGCTTTTTAAAGCCCTAATGGACATCTCATTCCCCAGCCTTTCCTTCCAAGCCTTTTGGTTAATCTATTGTTGTCCTCAACTGTTATTTATCTTCTCAGGCAGTTCTGACTAAAATACATGCCTGTAATTGGTTTTGACAAATGTTCCCTAATAGGATCTTTAGCTCTAGGAGGATGCTAAATCATATAAAGTCAAGTTTTCTGAGCCAGTCTCCCAGGTAGTCATCAGACAGGTCAAATAATGACAGTTCTTTGTGAATGAAGTCTGTTTTGTTTTTTCCAGTACTGAGAATGCAGGCTATTACTTACAAAGTTATCACTGAGCTTGGGAGTGGGAGATGTTTTTGTGATAAAGTAAAATGCTAGAAAGCTCATTGTTTTACTGAGAGTCAGATTTTTTTTTCTGAATAAGTGCTCTTGGGCAGGGATAAACCTTTGGTTAATATCCAGATTGCCAACACAGTTGATTCTGACAGTTTTGCCAGTATTTTCACTGCTTTTATGGAGAGATAAAATTTCAGCATTCCTTATGTCATCATTTTCACTGATGTCACTCTAGACCTTTTACATTTATGGGAATTATTGATATATTAGAGCTTAAGTATGCCATTTTATTATTCGTTTTCTGTTTGCTTCCACTCCTTCTCTTTTCTAAACTCTGAGTTATTTGAACAATTTTTAGGATTTTGTTTTACTTAGTTTATAGTGTTTTTAAAAGTATATTGCTTTATATATTTTTGTTTTATAATTTACAGTCAGTTCTTTTCTTATAGCTTCTATTTTTGCTGAAATTTTCTACTTTTTATTTGTTTCAAAATAATTACTCCTTCTTGAAGCATTTTATGATGGCTATTTTAAAATTCTTTTCAGAAAATCCCAGCATCTGATTCATCTTGGTATCAGTGTCTCTTCTAGTCCTTTTCTTATTTTAAAATTGGACTTTCTTTTTTCACTATTGAGTTGTAGGGTTTCTTATATATTTTGGATACCAACCCCTTATCAGATATATTGTTTGCAAATATTTTCTCACATTTTCTAGGTTGACTTTTCACTTCTCCTGTGCCTTTAATTTAATGTCTAAAACTCTTTATTTTTCCAGTGTTATAGTTGCTCACATTGACAGGGCTTGTACAATTGCATTTACTTTTGGGAGGGTTAGTTCCATTTGCCTTGTCATGGTAAGATGTGGAAATCCTATCCTCGACTTTTGAAAGAGGCTTTTCACTCATTTATATACTTTTATTCGAAAGACTGGACCCCACCCATCAATCTTCCATGTGATTCATTGGAGTAAAAAGCCTTCTCTAAAAAATCCTTTTATTCCCATTTCTCAAAGAATGAATACTGAATTTCTCAGACGGAATTTATTGTTTTGAACGGTGATTAGTCTCTGAGTTTCAGCAATTTGATTATGTTTTTTTCTTTGTCTCTCATTTTTTGCCCTTTCACTTACAGAAAGAATGAAAAATGCCAAAGGCATATGCTGTAAGACAGATATTGTTTCTAATCTAGGCTCTATGCCTAATTAGATGTGTGGCCTAGGTATGTTACATCATCTCTTCAATCTTTATTGTCTTCATCTGTGAAGTGGAAAATACCACCTAACTTCACAGTGTTTTGGTAAGTGTTCATAACTATATGGTAGTATTTAATACAGAAAGTGATACATGGTAAATTCATGGTAAATATGAATTGCCATTATTTTTGCCTAATATCATTTCCTCCCTTCCTCCATTCATACCCCCTCTTCAATTTAATTTTTCTTCCCCATCTTTTCTTTCATCATCATTATCTCCTCCTCCTCCTCTTCCTCCTCCTCATCCTCTTCCTCCTCCTCCTCCTCCTCCTTCTTTTTTTTGTTAGTCCATGATGCCTAGTACAGGATTGGATATATAGTATGTACTACTGACAAAAGGTGATAGTCTACTGTCAGGAGGATTAAAACAAATGTTTTTTAAAAGATTTTTTATTTCTTAAATTATGTATTCATTTTCTCATTGTTTGATTGATTGATTGATTCATTCATTCAAATTTGTTTCACCCAAAATGCCACTGGCTCTAATTTGCTTTTGCTTCTTACTGGGAAGAAAGATCCACCTTGACATGAGTGCTACTGGCAAATCTCCCACACTTACACAGAGTGTCCAGCTGAGATATTGATATATATCATCCTCTGCCTGGCTGACTCCAGGTATGTCTCATCCCTTTTACTTCACTGCACAAAATGCTGGCCCATTTCCAAAACTAATAAAGGCTAGGCACTGTCCTACTGCAAAGATCTCTATTTGGTCCCCTGCAACACAGTCCTTCATTCTCTCAGGACATGTCAGTCATGAAGCCCTATTTAATGGCCATTTCCATCCTTCTGATCCTGGTTCATAAGACTCCAGGTAATTCAGGCCTCTCTCAAAAGTTCTGGGGTCTTGCATGTGCTATTGGTATCTTGGTGAACTCTGAGATGACTCTTACCCACATATAGTAGGCACTACCTAAAGCCTTTTCTGGTCTCAGATGGGTTATAGATATTAATCCCAAGGTCCAGCTTATGTTAAGATCTCCCTTGGTTCTGCTCTGCCAATACAAATTTAAGAGATTGTTGTTCCTGGAATACTGGAGTGTCGAAGCATGAAGTATTTTAGATCGTGCTGTCATTGGGATGAGAGCTTGATTCATGGGTTAGGGGTGAGAAACTGGGATCCAAGTTGGGGGAATAAAAAGTAGTTTGAAGTTTGGAGAGTGAGTTGTGGTGGGATGGTGTATGACTTTAGAGTAATATTGGAAAAATGAGCGGGGATGTGGAGGGGGTGAGCAATTCTATATATAGAATTGGGCTGGACTGATGTTTTGATGTAGTCTGAAGAGGGAATGGTATTTTTGTTGAGTGGAGCTGAGGATGGAGTTGGGTAGAACTGGGAGTGAGAGTAGAGTGAAGTTTGTAGCTGGTCTGTATTTTGGCTTGATGCTATGAATAAGGATTGGGTGGTTTGGCTAGTGTTATGTTTGTGTTAAGTTTTATAATTGAACCTTAGTTTGTTATCAAAAGAGATAGAGCTGGTCTACGGCCATGCTACCCTGAACAAGCCCGATCTCATCTGATCTCGGAAGCTAAGCATGGTCAGGCCTGGTTAGTACTTGGATAGGAGACCACCTAGGAAGACCAGGTGCTGTAGGCATAAAAAAAAAAAAGGGATTGTAAGCTGACAAGGTCCTTGCAATCTGTGAGGTCAACCAAGAGTTGCCTCGCCTAAAAAAAACAAAAAACAAAAATAACTAAACAGGAGATAGAGCTGGAAATAGGAGTCAGATTTTTGGTTTAAGTAGATGTCTTATTCAAGCTGGGCATATGTGGGGTTTATCTGAGCAGTGATTGGCTTAGCCGGAATCTGGGGGTGATTAAGTTTGAGTAAGGCAGTCAAATTATCACAGCAGAGCTGTGGCTATTGAAATAGAAAAAATGAATTTTGGATGAAAAATATCGTTATATTTTCAAATTCTTAAAAAAGTTTCTTTAGTGTGATTTTCAGGGACACTGAGAACAATAGCTATAACTGTAGCTAGGATAAATGAAGTCAGAAGGCTGGAATATCCTCAATGTCTCTCTCAAACCTTGACAAGTACAGAGAGACATGGGAGTAGTCTCAACCTAGCCCTATAGAAGACCAAGGTTGCTTCTCTTTTTTGAGGATTGAGTTCAAAGTTACCATGTTTAGTGTTTTCTCTGCTTTCCCTTTCTCCTTCCTCTCCTTTTTCTCCTTCCTCATCTTCTTCTTACTTTGTATTCTCATACCCCTTGTTTCTCATCTTGTTTCATCCTCTTTACTTGAGCGACAATTCTTCTCATATCCAGTAAAGCTCAGTTCCCATGTTATAATAGTGATAAAAACCACAGGTTTGCAAAAAACAACACAAAAAGGAAGCAGCACTCTATGCTTCAAAAGCTGTGCGTACTGTTGCTTCCTTAGTAACTACTTAATACTTTCGCCTGACAGAATTTATGGGCAGGAACTGTTCTGGACAGTCTTTTCTGGGACAATCAAAGTAATCTTTTCCTTTCATTGCCCCAAACATATACATATGAAATTAAACTGTTTGAAAGCCAAGACTTTGCTTTTCCATTTTATGTGTTCCTGGTTGAGCCGAGTGCTTTGCACAGAGCAGAGTTTAGCAAATGTTTATTGACTAAATGAATATATAAATGACTTATTCTTAATAAATTTATATGGGTAAGAAGAATCTTAGGAATTGGAGGGAGAAGGGTCATATTTTGAGTGCACAGATGGCAGAAAAAATCATGTATCACATTGATTTTGGCTCTGGATGGAGCTGATAGAGTCTAGAGTATATATTTTGTGTCTTGATTTGTGATTTTTTAATTTGCTCTTAAAACAATTCCTATGTGGGAAAATGAGCTGGGAAATATCTATAGGTAAATATGAGAAGGTCAGGCAGAATTGTGGCTCTCACGCCAAGCAGGAGCCCATGACTATTTTCTTGGAAACTTTTGCACAGCACCCTTGCTCTGGCCTATCACCAGACCTCTCAAATCAGAATGTCTAGAGACTTGATGTGAATATACTTAAAAATCCCCCAGGTTATTACAAAATGTGATACACTTCATTAACTTCCTCCTTTACAAACACGGTTGAGATTTTCTGATTTCATGAAAACTCTCTCATTCCCATTTCTCCTATGGAGAGACTAGGTCCAGAGGTCCAGAGGGTCAAAGGCCATGTTGGGATTCAAGAGTATTGATGATCTCCTCTGACTTCAGTTTGAAGATGGAGAGATCATAAAAGGTGACATTAATTTGATGTGGGTGTTACAGTTTGTCATGAAGTAAGGCAATATAGGGTTTGAAAAGCTGCAGAAGTGAGAAGTAATAAATGTCTCTGATAAAACCCTTGTTTGTTTGTTTGTTTGTTTGTTTAGCCACTCTAAGCAGAATCCTCCTAGGACTGTCTTTACCTGTTTTCCATGTGGAGAATGTGAGGAAAAGGTAGACTGCATGGTCCTCATTTTTGGTATCTATGTTCCTATCCATCCTTTGGTGACTACGAAGAGGAAACCTTGGGCGCCCTGGTTTCCATTAAGTGTGTTTGGGAGAAAAGGAAAGTCCTCCAGTTCAGATGATAGCCAAAACAGTGTTGGTGTCACTTGGGGAGGACCCTGCAGATCTCTTCCTCCTACAAGTATACAGATTCATCAGTAGGGGTTCTCAAAAGAGTAACAGATTCCATGATGAGAGTGAGGATTAATGTAGGAAACGCAGTGGACCATGATGCTGAAGCATGGATGAAGGCGTCACATTTTTGCCTGCTTCCTCTACTTAACCAGCAGGTTTGCCGATGTAGCAGCATTTGAGTGCCTTCCCTGGACTGGAGTGCCAAATTTTGTGGCAATCCATATATACACTAGCACCCAAATGCTATGGAATGTCTGCCATTGAATCATTTCTTTCTTTCTTTTCCCATCTATGAGTTCACCTAAACTTTGAAAATTTTACTTTCTCTTGTCAAAAAATTAACAAAGTGTTTTTGTGTGTATGTGTGTGTGCAAGAAATGACATCAAACTTGCTTTACTTCATTTTCACTAATGTGGGTGGGCATTGAGACCTCTGCATCCTTAGCACTGAGTACATAACTTGGAACAGAGTGAATGCTGATAAATGGATGTGGAATAAGGGGATGGGTGGATGGTTGAAAAGGTCTTTGCCTTCTTAAACTATTCCAAAAAATTCAAGAGGAGGGAAAACTCTCAAGCTCATTTTATGAGGCCACCATCACCCTGATTCTAAAACCAGACATCAAAAAAAAGAAATTTATAGGCCGATATCCATGATGAACGTAGATACAAAAATCCTCAACAAAATATTAGCAAACCGAATTCAGCAAGACATTAAAAAATTAATGCACTGTGATCAATGGGATTTATTACTGGGATGCAAGGTTGGTTCAGTATTCTCAAATCAATTAACATGACACACTACTTAAACATGAAGAATAAAAATTACACGATCATATCGATAGATGCAGAAAAAGTGTTTGACAATGTCCAGCATCCATTTATGATAAATACTCTCAGCAAAGTGGGAATAGAGGGAACTTACCTCAACATAATAAAGGCCATGTATGGCAAACCCCCATCTAATATCATACTTAACAATGAAAAGCTAAAAGTGTTTTCTTTAAGATCAGGAACAAGATAAGGATGTCCACTTTCACCACTTTTATTTAACATTGTATTGGAAATCTTAGCCATAGCAATCAGATAAGAAAAGGACATCCAAACTGGAAAAAAAAAAAGAAAGAAAACCATTGTTATTTGCAGATGACATGACACTATATACAGAGAACCCTAAAGATTCCACCAAAAAAACTATTAGAACTGATAATTGAATTTAGTAAAGTAGCAGGATATAAAATTGATATTCAGAAATTAGTTGTACTTCTATATGCCAATAATAAATTATCAGAAAGAAATTTAGAAAACAATCTCATTTATAATTGCATCAAAAAAATACCTAGGGATAAATTTAACCAAGGAGGTAAAAAACTTGTTCTCAGTAAATTATAAGGCATTACAATAATTATAAAACTATTATAGTAAATAAATTGAAGAAGATATAAGTAAATGAAAGCATACACCATGAACGAAGTTGGAAGTATCACACTACCTGATATCAAACTATACTACAAGGCTACAGTAATCAAAACAGCATGGTACTGGCACAAAAACAGATACATTGATCAATGGAACAGAATAGAGAGCCCAGAAATAAATCCACGCCTATACGCTCACTTAATACATGACAAAGTAGGTAAGAATATACAATGGGGTAAAGACAGTCTCTTCAATAAATGGTGTTGGAAAAATTGGACAGATACATGCAAAAAAACAAGAAACTGGACCGCCTTTTTACATCATATATAAGAATAGACTCGAAATGGATTAAAGACTTAAATGTAAGACCTGAAACCATAAGACTCCTAGAAGAAAACGTAGGCAGTAAAATCTCTGACATTGCTTTTAGTAATATTTTTTTCTGATATATCTCCTCTGGCAAGAGAAACAAAATAAAAAATAAACAAATCAGACTACATCAAACTAAGAAGGTTTTGTACAGCAAAGGAAACCATCAACCAAACAAGAAGACAGTCTACTAAATGAGAGAAGATAGTCACCAATACTACATCTGGTAAAGGGTTAACATTCAAAATTTATAAAGAACTCATACAACTTAACACCAAAAAACCTAAACAATCTACTTAAAAATGGGCAGATGACCTGAATAGGCATTTCTCCAAAGAGGACATACCGATGGCCAATAGACATATGAAAATATGCTCAACATCACTAATCATCAGAGAAATGCACATTTAAACCACAATAAGATATCACCTCACACATGTCGGAATGGCTATCATCAATAAATCAACAAACTAGTGTTTGTGAGGATGTGGAGAAAAGAAAACCCTTGTGTACTCTTGGTGGAATTAAAAATTGGTGCAGCCACTCTGAAAAAACAGTTTGGAGGTTCCTCAAATAATTAAGAATAGAACTACCTTATGACTCAGCAATTCCGACTGGGTATTTATCTGAAGAAATCCAAAATACTAATATAAAAAATATATAAGCACTCCTATCTTTATTGCAGCATTATTTACAATAACCAAGATATGAAAACAACCTAAGTGCCCATCAATGGATGATTGGATAAAGAAGAGGTGGTATATATACAATGGAATATTACTTGGTCATTAAAAAATGAAATCTTACCATTTGTGATAACATATATGGACCTAGAGGGTATTTGTCAGACAGAGAAAGACAGACAGAGAAATAAGTCAGACAGAGAAAGACAAATACCATATGATCTCACTTATATGTGGAATCTACAAAACAAAATAAACAAACAAAACAGAAACAGACTCATAGATGCAGGAAACAAGCTGATGGTTGCCAGATGGGAGAGGATTTGGAGAGCTAGGTGAAAAGGTGAAGGTCTTAAGAAGTATAAATGGGTACTTACGAAATAGTCATGGGGATGTAAAGTAAAGCGTAGGGAATATATTCAATAATATGGTGACATCTATGTATAGTGCTAGGTGGTTACTGGACTGAAGGGAATCACTTCGTGAATTATGTGGATGTCTGACCACTATGTATACACCTAAAACTAATATAAACTAATGTTGAATGTCAATTGAAATTAAAAAATGAAAAAAAATTAATTTTTTTTTAAAGAAAGAAGGCAAAAGAAAGAAAAGTTCCTTAAATATTAAACTATGAATTTTGGACTATCTATTGAAAACAATAGAAGGCCCTATGCCTGCAGACATCATGCAATATGCCACCCTCTCCTAAAAATTCTATCACATGGAGAGGCAATGTGACAGAGAAGAAAGAGCATGAGTTTATTATGTAGACTAGAAATGAGATCTTAGCTTGGTCAAGTGTGAGCTATGGGACTGTAAATAGAACAAGGTCTCTCTTTGAGCTACAGTGTCTTCATCTGGAGAATGGAGATAACAGCCAGATTTTGTGAGGGTTCTGTGAGATCTCATTTATAAAATACCTGGTATATAGATGATGCTGAATATATAGTAGCAATTGTTATTATTATTATTATTCTAACTGCTCCTTTGTCTTTGAAATTTCCAATGGATAACTAATATTATTGACAACTAATATTTATAGAATGCTGACTAAGTGCCAGAAACTTTGTCACTGGGTCATTTTCAGCTGAAGAGCCTGGATACACATGAACATTTCTGGGTGACTGATACATAGCTATCAATATTCACAAATGGATTTTAGTTTATGTAGAAAACGTGTGGTAGAGATTTGTAAAGAAAACACATGCATATGCTCAATTTAGGCATGAATGTGAACCTGTGAATAAAATGAGTCATGTATCTGTGCCTGTGTGTGTATGTGCTAGTGTGCTGTCCATGTATGCACGGCATGTTTCTGTGGGCCAATCTACAAAATGACATGCATGACATATGTTTGTTCAAATGTTTCAAAGTATGAAGGCATGCAGGGGCTCGAATATGTGTGCCCTGCCTCAAAGTAGATCCTAGGTGTCTATGATGAGAGTGGTATGTGAGGAGGACACTTCCATACGGGCACTTGAGACATGTCCAATATGTGCTCACAGTGGCAGCCCTTAAGGCTCTGGACCTTCAGGAAAAGGCTTTTACATAAACAACACTGCCTAATATCTAATTTCCCCTCATATATGCCTGATACTTTTCTGAGCATACTATATGTGCTAATTTAGTCATCACAAAAAATGTTAAGAAGTTGACCTTATTATCATGACCATTGTGAAGATGATGCAGTGGTGGTTCTGAGAACTTATATAATTTGCTTAAGGATGTACAACGATAATGACAGAGCTCAGATTTGAATTGAGGTGATTTTGACTTCAGACCCTGTGCTCTTAATATTCTTAGGGCTCGTTCTCTTTAAATCACACTTCCCCACTCCTATTATCATTGCTGCATAGAAGCTAAACATGGCTATGTTTTTCACAGGTGACTTGCTCAGATCCTACTTTGGCAGGAGCCAGGAGCCTTGGAATCCATGCCAGCTTTACCATGGCATGTGCAGAAATGCCTGCATGAAATATGAAATTCAATACTTAACCTGCCCCAATGATCAAAAGTGCTGCCTGAAATTTTTTGCGAAAATAGCCAATTCTAACCATGTGAAAGAGGACTCCAACTTCAACTTGTCAGTTACAAACACTTAAAGCTACTCTGAAATTTGAATATCACCAATGTTACCCCATCCTGGAGCATTTCCTCCCCCATTGTGAAACACCCCCCCCCCATAAAAATGCATTCCTTCTGATGCATGTGTCTTTCATCTGTGAACAGTCATCATGGGACAGAGGGAGGTTAGGCTGGGAGATGGGGAGCAACGAAGTATAGGAAAGGACACTGGCTAAAAATGCGAATAGGATGGTAAGATAGCCCAGTAGATGGTGAGGGTGCCAAGGACAGGAGGAGATCACAGTTCTGCTCTGTTTTGGTACCATGACAAGGATTGTGACTCATTCTGGAGGTTGCAGAGAGAAGGTGAACACTGGATCGAGTCTGGACGACTCAGGGAACATGTAGGGAAGATCACTTAGTCCTCTGAGTAAACGCCGTAGGATCAGGACAGAGACAATAGGGTTGCCTTTGATATCCAGAGAGTTACCCCAATCTATTCAGTATGATGCAGTATCCTAGGGAAAAACCAGAACCAGAAAGATGAATGGATGCAATTGAGTGTAGAAATCTGTTGAAAAAACAAGGGCAACATTTTCTAAGGGTAGAGCTGCTGGAAAGTGGAATAAGCATGCTTGTCTCTGGGTGTTCTTCCAACTTTGACACTAGAGGACCATTTCTGGATGTGGAACACAGGTGATGACAGTCATGATGTTAGGGAGGAATTTAAAACAGAAGCTGGATGAACATCTAAAACTCAACAAAAACACTCAAACTGCACACCAGCACGTCTGAGTGTGGTATCTATGCATAATAGCTATCACAGGTCAGTACCCCGGGTGTCAGGCGGTCGACTGGGAGAAATAAAGAAGGTGCCTCTTGAAGCCTCCAAGCTCCCTGCAAGAGGAGTGGGAGGGGAGAAGGAGCAGCAACTTCCCTGAACAGCCCTACCTGGGAGTGCTGTGAGCCCCCTGCGCAGGGCAGAAGGGCCGTCATCAGGGCAGAAAGCAGAGAAGTGGGACAGGACCACAGAGAAACAACAGTTGATTTTTACCGGCCCCGGTTGTAAAACTGAGGTTGAGCCTCAGACTCCAACTCCCAACCAAGAGTGCTCCTCCCTTCATACTCTCCGAGACCAGTCACCGTGGAGCCCCAGGGGAATCTGAGCAAACGCTGCCGAGACTATCGCTTACACTGAAAGGGACTGAAACTGAGGATAGCGAAAGTGATTAAATATCTACAAGAAAATTTTTTAAAAAGGTGTTTTAAGGCTTTATATAAAGCAGAGATCCAAAAGGCTTAGATGCCACCTACTGGAAAACAACAGAAAAGCGAATTCTTTGCAACAGGCTAAAGAGAGACCTTTACATAATAAACCTTTCTGGAAAAACAGCAGAATACACTTCCATTAATGCCCGGGCGGAGAAATAGTACATTAAACACCATGAACAACCAAGGTGATAAGGCATCTCAGAAACAAAGAGAAAAATCTCCAGAAAATAAGCTTACAGAGACATAGAAATATGCAACTTAAATGACAGAGAATTCAGGATGATACTTCTAAAAAAATTCAGTGAGATACA